ATAGCGATGCTTGGGGTTTTTATATCCCAAGAGAAGGACTCTGCACTTGGCCTTATTAAAGCTCATGCCATTGGCCTCAGCCCAACGATCCAGTCTGTTCAAATCCCTCTGAAGGGCCTCCCTACCCTCGAGCAGATCGACACAGCCTCCCAGCTTGGTGTCGTCCGCAAATTTACTGAGGGTACATTCAATCCCCTCATCCAGGTCATTGATAAAGATGTTAAACAGAACTGGACCCAGCACTGAGCCCTGGGGAACCCCACTGGTGACCGGCCTCCAGCCGGATTTAGCCCCATTTACCACCACTCTTTGGGCCCGGCCATCCAGCCAGTTTTTAACCCAAAGGAGGGTGTGCCTATCCAGGCCAGCAGTTATCAGTTTCTCAACCAGAACACTATGAGAAACTGTATCAAAGGCTTTACTGAGGCCAAGGAAAACTACATCCACAGCCCTTCCCTCGTCAACCAGGTGGGTCACCCTGTCATAGAATGGAAGACTGTAGTCCTCTACATCCTAGAAACTCAAATCAGCAAGAAAAGTATCTCTCAGCAAAAGTCAAGGCTGGTAACAGCAGCCGAGCCTTCACAGCTGTTTGCTCTGAGTTGTAGATGGGAATGTCTTGCTCTTAGCGAGCGACACATGCCTCAAAGTCGCAGTACCATCCAGACATCAAGAATTAGCGTTTCGATTTTGCCTTCACAGTCAAGTTCCCATGTGGTAAGATTCAGAGACATGATGAAGATGGTCAAGAGAAAGTCACAGGAACCACAGCAAGTCCAGATGCTCCTCCTGAAGATGAGGAAAGCACTGAGGCCCCGAGCAGCCATCCAGAGGTCACTGGGGAGACTGACAGTTTACCCAGCACATCCCCGTGGCAGGTAAGGTGCCCTTGTCCTGAGATGTTTAACACCTGACTCTGCTCACCAGGACTGACAGCCACTTTTCTTCGTACTCATCCCCGCTTGCCAAGTGGACCCAGCTTGATTTGAGACAGACTTCCTTGGTGTCAAAGTTTTGGGTGATCGTTCCACTCTCCTGAGTACTGTGTTTCTGCACAGGTATCCTACATGGCATTGCGCCTCCATTTCAGCACCAAGCGAATGCTGAGAGGGGGAGGCCAGGAGAGATTAGGGTTGCAGATATAGAACGTAGAGCTGGGTGAGCCACAGGGACCCTTCCCTGCCAGCCACTGCATTGTTTGGGTTGCAGTGTGGTGGTGTCAGAAGAATAGCCTGAGTTCCTGTTGTGGCCAAGAATAAAGTGAAACAGAAAACCCAAAAGGAATAGTACTATTACAACATTAGCTAAATTTTGTTTAAAAAATAACAACCAAAATCTGTTGGTAAAATAACTGAATGTGCAAACTCCACTTTGAGCCAGGAAAAAGGTCTGTCTTGAGAAGTTTCCCACTGTGGCGGCTACACCTCAGTGTAACTCTCACCACCTCTGAATGAAGGATGACTGACAGAAAATACATATCAAAATGTCTACTTTAAGAAAACTGCTTGAATCTCAGCTAGCTGTTCAGGATTTCTCTGTACATACCTTTTTGTGCTTTATCTTTCTTCTCTCTCTTTGCAGGCTGTTCTACTAGCAGATGATTATGATGAACTGATATGTGGGGGGACAATTCTAAATGAGTATTTTATACTTACTGGAGCTAATTGTGTTAACCAGCCTAGAGACTTACGGGTTCTCGTTGGTAAGTGCTTCTGATTTTGCCCTTTACTATGAAAATAAGAAACTGTCCCGTGTTATAGTCCCCATATGCAGGACACTGAACTCTGCCAGAGTTTTTCTTACCCTCTTTTTATTTCTCACTGCCTCATCTCATCCCTTGACTAACAGTGAAATGCATGCTCAACTTGGCTGAATGGACAGTTTCTTTAAGCTTCATTTGGCCTAGTGTAGCTTGTGTATGATAGGAACCAAATATAAACCAGCAAGGTATGTGGGCAAGTAAGGTTGAGCTGATGTAGTTAAATTGGTCCTTTGTGCAATTTCCAGTGTTGGCCAAGCCTTGAAGAATTCCAGATGCCCCATTCAGAGGTCAGCAATAACTGTTTCTGACAGCACGTAGGTACTAGTCTAAGACTGTTCCATACTTGAAACTTCAAATTTATTATTTGTTACTGTAATTTATGAAAAAGTATTTTATCACAAGATCTAGGCACTGAAAAATGGTGTTCTGAGTCATAAAAATTGCACTCAGCCTACAATAGTAAAACAAAAAACTGTTTGTCTAATCTTCATTTGTCTGTCCATTTGATTCCCAGAGAGACTCCATATAAATTGGGAAAGACTAAATGTGTATAAACTGGTAAATTTTTGTATGCAGAATGTTAAAGTTTTAAAAGACAATGAATATCTGTTTCCTATTTAAGTCTGTTTGACTATATTACTCTACAAATGAGAGGCATGATTCTTCTCTTCTATGTTGAGGCTTTTGATTGTATATCATTAAAGTTCAATTGGGAATATTGTAATGAAGCCAAAAACTTTATATCAAAGCTTTCATTGAGAGTATCATTCTGATAACAAAGTCGTGATAACAAAGTTCTGATTTTCTACTTGCTTGGCATTTTGGCAGCTCTCTAAACCCCTCCAAAATGGGTATAAAATGCTACAGCATCAGGACACAGGCCCGGTCTATTTTATTCATGCAGTACAATGCGTATAAGAAGTGCAAGGAACTTTGGTCTCTTATTGAGATGCAGTTTAGACTTGGTATTGTCTTCTTAACAGCTGCTTTAATAATCTGACACAGGGATGGTGGACAAAGAAAAGGAGGAGCCAAGTAGAGCAATGCACACAGTGGAAAAAATAATTGCACATCCTGAATTTGATATAAAAACTTACGACAGCGACATAGCCCTTCTCAAATTGAAGGAACCTATCACATTTTCTGAAGATGTTGTCCCAGCATGCCTTCCAGAAGAAGACTTTGCTAATGACGTTCTGATGAACCAAACGTTCGGAATTGTCAGTGGCTTTGGGGCCATGTTTAAACGTGCGCGGCTGGTCAAAAGAATGAAAGTGCTTCAAATCCCTTATGTGGACAGGGACACATGCAAGCTCGCGCTTCGCAATCTGGTCACAAAAAACATGTTCTGTGCTGGTTATGATAAAGATGGAAAAGATGTCTGCCAAGGAGATGGAGGAGGCCCCCATGTAACCAAATACAATGGCACTTATTTTGTTACTGGTATCATCAGCTGGGGAGAAGGGTGTGGAACGCAAGGGAAATATGGAGTATACACCAAATTGTCAAAGTTTCTACCCTGGGTAAGACATGTTTTGACAGAAAACTCTTAACAGTTTGACATTTAATCAACCTAATTGTCTTAGCCATTAGATCTGATCCTTAAGTAATATTTTCCTCTTTCTAAAACACTTGGAAAAGTCTCGTAGTTTGTGCTTGCCTTAGGAGATGCAATTTATTCATTCATGAGCTAATGCCTAGTTTTCAGAAGGCGGGCTTGGACTTCAAACACAGCTTGCTGGTTTTGGACAATAATGAAATTTCTTCCAATGTGATAGTTTAGGAACTCTTTCTGCTCTTGCTGTGATAACCTAAATTTGTCTATTGGAGGCTTTGTCTTGCTCATAAGCCCCCTCCCAGTGCAATGAAAATTGGAACTAATGCCACATTTCAGTGACAGCACCTGCTTTATAGAAACAAACCAGACTAAGATAATATCAAAGTAAGACAGTATCAGAGTAGGACAACATTTTTAAAAGCCTCTGGAAAAGCTACCTAATTTTATATATATATATATATATGCGTATAGACAGAAAAAACTAGAAAATACAAAAACCACCCATGTATCCACATGAATCTAAATAACGGGGCATGTCACTGACTCAAACAAGTAGTTAGATGAAGCTATTTGAGTTGGAAAGGCTTGCTTATCATCACCAGAATCACTGTTGGTGTTTTGATATTTTCTTGCATTCTTTCTGAGATACTTTCTTCACCATCATTACTCATGTCGTGATTTTGGCTATAATAAAGTGAATGTATTGCATACCCTACAAATTACAATATTGTTGTATGTCATCGTTTATATAAAGCATTATTTAAATTATTCACAACTGAAGAGTTTTTAAGTCTACAAGGATAAATAACCTTTCAAGACTAAGAAAAGCCTGACTCTCTAATCAGCTGAACCTAACATCCTCTGTCTGCCTTATTTCAATCCAGATGGAAAAAAAGACTTGTTTTTCTGCCAGTTCAGCAGTACTTAAAAATAGTGAACTAGATATTAAGATGTTTGAGTCTCTACAGAAAAATGAAATACTCTGTGATGTACTTTAAAATGTGTGTCAGTACATATTTTGGAAGAGAGGAAAAAGAGAGATGTTACAAATCATATTGTGGCATACAGTGTGCAATATTTCTCTCATTCCCTGGCTTCACGATATCCAGCTTGCAAGTGTGAAAGTCACCGTTTTGAAGTATTTTTTAATATGGATTGTGTTGATCAGTTTGAAAGGAATAGGGCAGTTAAGTTTGTCTTGCAATGACCACTGACCTGTTTCCCTACGAAAAACTCAGAAAAATCATGCTGGAGCCTGTTCTATTTGCTTGATTTTCCCCCTTTTTTCTCTGACACATCTCCTGAACTTCAGGACTGTTAATTGAACTCAACCCTGGAGTGACAGCACATCGCAGGTCATGGTTTTCAATAAAGCCACAGAAAGGAGTTCAGCCTCTGATGGCTGTGTATGCAACTCTCTGACATCAGTGCTCCAAAGGATTTACCCCTGCTTGACTTCCCATAGCACCTCCACTGAAACCTCTGATTATAATTCAGCCGTAAATTATGTATTGAGAGAGCTAAATCTGATATATGGAACTGTCATGGGTTAGGCCGCTCCAACAACCAAACCCACACAGCCGGTCACTCACCCTCCCCCACCCCCAGGAAATGAGGGAGAGAATTAAAGGAGAAACGGGAAACCCGTGAGTTGAGATAAGAACAATTTAATACAGATAAGTAATACACAGTGTAGATGCTCCCCACCCCCTCTTATTCGCAGCCCGTCTCGTCCCGAAGCTGCAATCCCGGACGAACGCGAGGCCCCGAAATAGAGAGGGGCGGAGAGAGAGAGAGAGTACTCCGAGAGTGGGAGTACTGGGAGAGAGAGAAAAAAAACGCAATAGAGCAAAAGCGCAGCCAGCGCAAAAGAGCAAAAGCGGCGAAAGAGCCAAAGCGCAAAAGCCCTTCTTCCCGGCTGACCCTCACTTTTATACTGGGCATGATGCTGCATGATATGGAATACTAATTGGCCAGTTTGGCCCTCAATCTTAAATTCCACCACAAACACCAGCTTGCTATCAGCATTCTTCTCAGAGCGAGCCTCTGAGTAAAACCAAAACACGGAGCTCTTCTAGCTGCTAAAAAGAAGAGCTAACTCTGTCCCAGCTAAAACCAGGACAGGAACCCTGGGCCATGCTCAGATGTGTCCCAGGGACTAAGGGAAGGCCATTGCACAGGACTGGCACTTGCTGACCCATTCCCTTATTGCCATCCATCTCTTCTCCTTCCCAGCCCTGCATGACCACTTGCCCTGGCTCTGCAGCACTCCTAGTTTATTCATAACTGATTACAAAAGGCACAGAAACCTTCAATGGGCTTTGATCATCGTCTTTAGCTCAGCGTGAATTCAGAGGAGTCAGTCGCCAGATCATCTCCTTCCTCACCTCCCAGTTTGCATTGCCAGGCAATGAAACACCATCATCAACCTGCTCAGATGTTCAGTACCAGATAAGAACAAATCCTGACTGCAGGGACACTTGTCCCAGCTGCTTAATTGCACAGAGAATCACAGTTCTCACTCGGGACACATACCGAGGCACGCATCTTGTCATCTGCCTAAATGCTCTTTGAGTCCTCACAGAGAAGATAGATAGACTTCTAACTCAAGCCATTTACTTTGAAACTTGAATAAGGTTTTTGGCATCATTTTTCAATACGGATGGAATTTTTTCCTTGTCATAAATGCAGAAGTCATCTTCCAAATGCAATCCAGCAGTGTAGCAGTTGCACAATCCACAGAGTCTCTGTCTCCCACAGGTTGAGAGTCAGGTTTACGGCAGGAACCCAGTGACATCTGTCTGGGCTGTGGGTGGAAGCTCTCGGGTGCTGGCTCTGCACTGGCACCACTGAGGCCAGGTCAGGGCTTCCCTCCTGCTGAATCTGTTGCTGAGGAAGTGACTGGCTGGTCACAGAAACACCTTAAATCACAATATGCGGGCACAGCTGCAGGGCTGCTGCCCCATGACCTCAGGAAAGAGAATCAGGAAATGGGGCAAAAGAGAAAGGAAAAGGAAGCAGCATTAAAAAGTCTGAATTCCAGGTAAACTCCAAACACTTTCTTACCTCAGCATTGGCCACTTCAGATTGTGTCAGTGTTACAGGAGTTACGGAGGAGGTGCTATGCTGGATTTCATTCTCACCAACAAGGAGGGACTTGTTGGGAATGTGAAGCTCAAGGGCAGCCTTGGCTGCAGTGACCATGAAATGGTGGAGTTCAAGATCCTTACGGCAGCGAGAAGGGCGCACAGCAAGCTCACTACCCTGAACTTCAGGAGACCAGACTTTGTCCAAACTTGTCAGCCTGGAGAAGAGAAGGCTTCAGAGAGACCTTCTAGCAGCCTTCCAGTACCTAGAGGGGGCTGGAGAGGGACTTTTTACAAGGACATGTAGTGACAGGACAAGAGGCAATGGCTTTAAACTGAAAGAGGCGAGATTTAGATTAGATATAAGGAAGAAATTCTTCCCTCTGAGGGCGATGAGGCACTGGAACAGGTGGCCCAGAAATGTTGTGGATGCCCCATCCCTGGAAATGTTCAAGGCCAGGTTGGATGAGTCTTTGAGCAACCTGATCTAGTGGAAGGTGTCCCTGCCCATGGCAGGAAGGTTGGAACCGGGTGATCTTTAAGGTCCTTTCTAACAGAAACAGTTCTATGATTCTACGATCCTGTGAGTTTGCCTGAAAATCCTGTTTAGGTTTCTCTGTGAGCCATCCTTAAGCATTTTTATCCTGAAGTCCAGGTTAGGGCAACAGGAAGATGTTATCAGAGAAAATGGGCGAAGAATCATAAAGCCCTCATTCAAATAGCCCAGACTCCAAAGTGATTTTTCTGCATTTTTCACAGGGTATCAGGATACTGCTCATCTCAGAGCAAAATTAACCACCTTACTAAAACCCCTTATCCATCACTGAAGCTGCATCTATGAGCTTAAATGATAGTGTTGTCTGTGCATGTGCTCTGCTGTCCTCTGGTTGATCCTTTCTCAGTTTGATTAGTTGACATTTTGGTAAGGAAAAGGATACTGAGATATAAGTGAGGAAAAAAAGGTAAAGAAACACCAAGGTGGAAGTAAAGAATTAATGTATTTTAATAAATGAAATATTAATAATTGCTATTTTAGCAATGTATACACAGAAACAGAAAACATCAGAGCTTGCATCTACAGAGACCACAGAACTGTAGAAGTGTTTGGGTTGGAAGGGACCTCCAAAGATCATCTAGTGTGACCCTCCCTGCCATGGCCACAGACATCTGCCACTAGATAAGGTTGCTCAAAGCCCCATCCAATCCGACCTTGCACAATTTCAGCGATGGGGCAGATGTCTGAGTAGTTCCAAAGTGGCTTTTGTTTTTCCTGTCAGGAGACTTACACAACTTTGTGGCCAGGCTCAAGTCCTTGTTGTGGGTGCAACATGCACAGGAGAGAATCAGAGCTCCCCAGGGTTACATTCCTCCCCCCTGCCCACTCCCCTAGGATTTCCTGCAATATGGAACCACGCCAGAAGGGCTGTGCTGACACTCCAAAGCGGCTACAAGTTCTTCCTCCTTTTAGGAAGGGTGATGCGCTCTTTGGCAAAAAATAGAATTTTCTGCAGGTGGTGAACAGAATTGGCTGACGACAGTCCAACCCTTCAACTGAATTATAACCCATTTTAACTGCACTAAGGATTAACCCTTTGTGGAGTATGTGCTTCCTCTCTCCTGGCTGAGCAAAGCTCAGCTGATATTTTTATAGCTTCTGTACACACAAAGCTCTTAAGCATGGATGCTCATAACTCTGCCTTGTACGAGCGGTGTGTATGTTGGCATGTAAATGGAGTTAGCTTGTGTCGCTCACTGCCAGCTCGTGACCAGGACTACACATGACCACAGTCACTTGCTTTGGACCAGCTGATGTCTAGTCAGAGCTGAGGAGGGACGCACTCCCATTTTGCTGTTCCTAAACAGTTGTCTGCAAGGGAGCATTTCTTCTTTAATTGGAAACAGCTCTCCC